TCTGGATAAAAGCTATGTATGGTGTGTGATTTTTTGTCATTTAAATAAGACCCATTTGCAATATTACATTTTACTCTAATCCTATTCACATTATTAATGTTTATTTTATTTGTAGATTCGAACGGAACATAAGGTGTAGAAACTCCTTTAAATCCCAATAAAACAGACCCTAAACAAGGTTTTGTAAAATCAAACACATGGCTAGAATGTAATGTCACTTTCATAGTTTTCTTATTAGCTGTGAGTAAGAAGTCCGGGATTTGCTTTTGAATTTCCTTTGCAAGCTCAAACACCTCATATGTACCTTCAAAAATTTCTATTGTAATTGGAGCTTTGTGGTCATAATAGAAAACATCCTCACCTTCTCCAATGGTTAATTTGTTGCCTTAAAGTTGATTTAATTTTGGAATAAGCCCTTTGAACATAAGTTTGACTTTAGTCTTAATTATTGTTTCTCCATTTTATGTATTATAACTTAAATTTTGCCATCTAATAACTGGTTTAAATCATCAACTAAGATCTCTCCTTTTGGTAATGTTATTTTCTCTACTTTGTAATATACTTTGCAAATCTTGATTATTAATACATATTCGAATTTCATCCAAATTATTTATTGCCAAAGTGTTGTGTGGAACAGAGGAGTGATTTGTAATTTTAACCACTGTAATTTTAAGTAATTAGAGGTTTTTTAACATTAAATATAGAATTACTAGCAGAGTACCCGTCCTTCGTACGGGGTTGGCATATAAGTTTAAATTGCTTATTGCAGTTATACTCAAGCTTCGCGTTTGCAATGGGGGAGGACAAAGTTTGATAAAATTTGCTTCTTTAAATTGACGGTATACTATGGTATTACACATCTACCATAGCCATAATGTTCTACCTCATCAGGTGATGAGGTAGAACATTATGGCTTTACTGTTTATTGTTGCTTTATTATTTAGTTATTATTTAGTTTAGACCCTATGATGATTCTTATTATTTATTATTGCTTTATTGTTTATATATATCTTTATTGTTTAGGTAACCAATAAAGAAAAATAAAGATTTACAAATTAAAAAGTCACAATTTATTCATGACATTAAACACATAAACATAGCTGTAAACAATCCTACTTTGACAGTTCTCATTGCGTATCACAGTTGTTTGTTGCTGTTTAGCTCAAATTAGCTGTTTACATAAATGCAAAAAATATAGTGCTGCACCCTGTTGGTAAATCTTATAACTTTTTAATGCTTTTGTATATCATAGAACCAACTTTTTTTAGTTGAAACAGCTGACTAAATTCTTTAATTCCCTTTAAATATGAATACTCATAAGGTTAACATGGGGAACTACAGAGCCACTGGGGCGGAGCCCGAAGGGATTTTTGAGATAAGAATATGCCTATATGTTAATCGGGAATGTGAGCTATCATCATGAAAAATTTCAGCCCAATCCATCCAGTGGTTTATGCGTGATTGACAGGTCTGTAGATGATTTATCAAAAGAAAAACGAAGTAAATTCCCTTAGGGCTCTGCCCCAGAAGCCTTTAAAGGTCCATCCACAGATTTCTTATTGAACCATCTTATATCTGCTTTACGGGCTTGTGTCTGGCTTTTTCACCACTTTTGCCTATATTTTATCATATTATTCTAGACAGATCATCATAGCTTATGAGATTATTATCATACATGTTTTCAATCATTGGAAAAATCTTCGATTGTGTGAAAAAAAATACAGGGGCAGAAGGGCACGGTGCCTATTTGAGCCGTGTCCATATTTTGTTAAAGTAGTTTACAGCAATTGGATAAAACATTTTACGATATTTATATAGAAATATGTGCATGATTTAGAAATTCATTAAGCTGGAAACCTGCAATATATTGCATACTTTTCAGAGAGGTTACTTCAATGTATTCATTCAACAGTGAAAACGTAATATAGATATGTATACAAATAAGAACATGAACTCTTAGAGAGCCTATTCTAATGTTATTAGACTAACGAAAAGGGTTGTGCATGTTTACTAGCGCTCCTCATAAAAAACCCATTAATTTATGTAAAAAAAAAATATATATTCTTGAAGTGCACTGTGCCGCAATTAAAAAAAATCTATTTAACTTACCCATATAGTTACAAAATGCTCAAACTCGCATTGTGATATTTGACATTTATAATTTGGTTTATATTTCTCCAACATATAATTCATCTGCAGAAGTTTATTGTGCTCTTCTTACCGTGTCTAATAACATCCAAACACTCCTAAAATGGTACCTATCTTGAAAAATTATTTGCAGTAGCCTATATTACGGACCGTAGCCCACTGGGCTGGTAAAATATTGAAAATAACACGACATTTTGGCTGTAAAAATGGCACAATGAGTAAATACTATTTAAGCAGCTACTGCCATGACAGATAGGCCATATTCCTTCACATCATCCTTTATAAGATACGTCGATTAAAAATGCATGTAAACGTCAATATTTACGTAGCAGCCAATTTACAGTATTTATTACTTTTTGGAAATGCCACGTTGCTATGTCATTTGCATTATTTGTTGCCAATGAAGCCGCACGACCATATAAACGAGGAGACCCCTAACAGTTCAAGAATAAAAGCCAACTTCACTTCAAGTATATTCCACTAGGCCTACACCTAACATTCCGTAGAGAGATTATATTAAAAACTTTATGTAATTGATAAAGCTGAGACAACTAACTGTCATCCCCCATGTCAAGGAATTCCAGCTATAACAGTAACCCTACAACCAATTTCTCAAAACTATGATAGAAGGTTATTCATTGGCACAGAAGTACGATATGAACTGACGCGACGTGACGAAGGAAAAATCAAACTTACACTGTACCCTTTGAAGTTAGAACGTGTCTTACCAACAAACAGGTATTTTTTTTTATATAAAATCATAGCTCAATCTGCATTACACTGATGAAATCATGGAAGTGTTTAACTACAAAAGATCCACCAATACGAATTTAATACTATTTAAAGGTTCTTCCAATGGAAGAGCTACCAAATAGCATACCAATTAACTCCTATGACGTACGGTATGGGAAATATTTTTTTCATTGAATTATCAACCATATTTGGTAATTAACGCAATTAATATCATTATTGTTTTTACCCTTATTACTTATTAAACAATGCCAAATGATCAAAATATGTATAATTTCACTCAATTTATCGCAGTTAGATGAATTAGCGTAAGCCTTGAAAGTAACCGTCGATTTCGACGGGTTTCACCTAGTAATAATAAATCAATATGAGTATTACTATTCAGTTTGGTCGTTCTTAATGGATATATACATTTCTGGTCTTCAACTCCAAATACATTAACACTTATGTTATTTTGTCTTTCAAATTTATCTATTTCAGATATTTTTACAAGTTACTTTATATTTTTCATATTTAACTGACTTTCATAAGGTACATAATTGGAGACCCTTTCAGCATGTTCATTAGAGTTCCTTGGATTTAAAGCTGCAAAAATTTACCAACAGAAGCATTTATTGTCAGAATTTTTTATATTTAAAACTGCATGTTTTTATTGAATACTTTTTGGTGTGGGGATATATGACTTTGGAGTTAGGGGCTTATACTTGTTAACCTGCAACTGCCAATATTTAGTATGGTCATATATCCATCCACTACCTTGGGCTTGATATTTATGCATCGATGCGTCAATCTTTAAAAGTGCATTTTCAATTTGAGGCTTTAAATCTCTCTTCTAAATAGTTAAGGTAGAAAGGCTTCTAAAATCCGCAATGCATTCCTTCTCATTAACTAATTTTCCATTTTGATCCATTGAATATTTTATAAATTTGATTTTCCTAACTAAAGTCCATTTTATCGGAAGAGGATAAGACTTCAGAGTATTTTCAAGGTCAGCTCTAATCGAGTCACCGACAAATTTAATAATTGTATATGGACATTTGATGCAAGAATTGGCGTGTCTTTAAAAATGTCCAACAACATTCATTTTACAGAAGTTATAAAAAGTGACTTTGTAATATATGCAATTTTAGAGCCATGTTATTATCACAGATTAAATCACAAACTTTGCACAGTTTCGCCATCATTTGATGTATTACCTTGTAGTGGCGAATCAGGTTGCTTTTGTTGGAGAGCGACACGGAGCAGTGTTGACATGACGGCTTCATGTTTAGGAATGAGGTCTCAGGCCGATGTTACCTCTATATATAGACTTTTGGAAAATTTCCAACCAGAATTTAAAAAATTTCAAAATTTTTTACTAGAAATTAAGAAATTTAAAATATAATTTTAAAAAAATAACTAGGAAATGTTTCAACAAAAGATGACATTTAGAAGGTTTCCCACCCAGGACTCAATCATGAGCTGCCACTGGGGACAGGAAGCAAGAAGCGAGAAGCCTGACTATGGGCCGGGAGCGCGCCCGAGTTCACGTGCAAACCTCGCTCGATTTTGAGAATATACATAAGAATGGATGTGGATTTTAAATGTTTATGGAGTTGTACAATAGTATAGAACATTTGTATAGGGGTGTATAGACCGAGAGCAGGATTTTTTTTAAAGTGGCTAAAAAAGCTCACCATGTTATGCTTATGGGGAAAAACGCCCCAAGTGACTTTAAACCGGCATATTGCCCCTACTGATATTTTACCAGTATAAGTTGAAATTGATTATAGTAAGTTGAAATTCTAAAAAAAATATTCAATATTGATTTTGAATAGAGTTTTGAAGTCAAGAAAAACATTACATGAATTTTTAATGCATATTTAAGCGGGCCCAAGCGGGGGTATTTAAAATACTTTAAAAGAATGTTTCAACAACTTGTAATGTTAGCAAAAATAGGAAATACCATTAACATTGTTATTTGATCTTAGCCAACTAAATTGTACAGCAAATTATAGTGGTGTAAAATATTGATAACAAATAAATATTTTAGTGCACTCTTACTTGTACAATCTTCAGAATCAGAATCCAAAAGTCAAAGGTAGAACTATTGTGGTACTTACTGCTCATCTGACCGAGGCATTCCAGTATGGTTGTTGTCAATAACAGCAAAAGTCCTGGTCCAACAACCATTGGGGTGCACAGCAACATGGTCTCAAAAACCTGGTGCGAAAGTAGATTTAGAGCTTTATATCGGAAGACGACTAGTCAAACAATAACAAGTGCTGGACACGTTTAAGTATGGCCAAAGCTCTACACTTTTACGTCTAACTGGAATACTGTATTGAAGGGTTATGTCATGGAAAATCGTATGTTCTGATTTTTCATTGGTATTAATTACAAGTTTTAAATAGGTGTCATATATAAAATAAATGATTAAAGCAATTTTCATAATAGAATGCTTGAAGATATTTTCTATCAAAAAGATCACACGTTTTGTCTTTGTATTGAGTAAAGATGTATTGTTAGTAGGATGAGTGGCGCGATCTTTTAGTATAGTTAGTAGGATGATTGGCACGATCTTGTAGAATTGTTAGTAGGATGATTTGCGCGATCTTGTAGAATTGTTTGTAGGATGAGTGGCGCGATCTTTTATTATAGTTAGTAGGATGATTGGCGCGATCTTGTAGAATTGTTAGTAGGATGAGTGGCGCGATCTTTTATTATAGTTAGTAGGATGATTGGCACGATCTTGTAGAATTGTTAGTAGGATGAGTGGCGCGATCTTGTAGAATTGTTAGTAGGATGAGTGGCGCGATCTTTTAGTATAGTTAGTAAGATGATTGGCGCGATCTTGTAGAATTGTTAGTAGGATGAGTGGCGCGATCTTTTAGTATAGTTAGTAGTATGATTGGCACGATCTTCTAGTATTGTATTACTAAGGCCGACACGACTATCTTCAGAATCCTATAGTCAATGGTACTATGCTCGAACAATACAAAAATGCAAATTTAATGGATTTTTTTTTAATTTTTATACCGTAAAACTGGATATATTGAATCAGTTGCTAAATCACACAATGTAAAACGCACTTTTTGTTGTTACATACAAAACATAATAATTGTATTTAATTAGATATAACATCCAATGTGTAAAATCTGTTCCCTCTCAGAAGAAACATTTTAAATAGTTAAATTATATTTAAACGTTTCGTTTTGTTCAACGGTTCACCAGTTGGGTCACTGTGTCCTATATATATAGGACGATACAAATATTTATTTTTGGTGGATTTGCAATACCAATGTTGCCAAACTTTGGGGAAAAAGATTATACTGTGATTATAAGTGCCAGATTATGATACAATAAATCACATTAAATAAACAATGAATTTTTTAAATTTTTATATTTCATTTTACGATGATGAATAAAACTGCAGTTAACAGTTTGATCGTTATTCGTACTATTTTTGATTATTTACAGAATATCTTTGTATCCATCATTTTTTGTTTACTCAGAAGGTGCTAGCATCACCAAACTCGTGGCTGAGCTGACCCATGAATATGCAACATAGAATTGTCCATAAGAAAAACAATCCTCTCTCAAGTCTAGTCCTGCGATCTTAAGTGACTGTCCCTGCGCTTTGTTGGTGGTGAGGACGAAGCAACACTTTTAAAGGGAATTGCAACCTTTAAACGGGTAGTCCGTAGGAACCAAGGGAAGTCGTGGTATAAAAACTGATTACCTTCAAGCACATCCGGTAATCACTCAATTACATTTTTGTGAAGATAAACTTCGAAGTACCCACTAGTAAATCTGAGTCTTTTCAAGGTATTACGTTCATAGCCAAACTTGACATAATTCACCATTTCGATAAACCTCGAAAACAAATGTGAATATCTTTCAACCAGCTCACACAACCCACCAAAGGTAAATGGATTAGACATTTCATAGAAGTATTCCCTTGAATTAAGTTAATTATTCCCGTCACTGTCGTGGGATAAGACCGAGAAGGAGACCCAGTTTCTCACAACATGTTCAACAATTGTTTTGCGTACAGTTAGTGTATGTATGTGTGTAAGTTGAATTATGAATGAGAGTGAAGTAAATAAACACGCACAGTCTCCTGTGATGTTAATGATATTGTGTGGAACGTTAAAACCTCAGTGTCCGTACTATGAGACGGTTTAAACAACTAAAAGAATATTAACAGAACAATATCATAAGTTTAAAAAAATTCAAATGCAATAAAAACTAAGTTTAATTCTACTTTATTCAACACTAATCACACCTATGCGATGATTTGTAGACCTAATAGTTATAACTGTTAGTTATAATACTGTAGTTATAATAGTAATAACTGCCGTTATCTTCTATACTTATAAAAGGCAAAGCCCTCACTGACACACTCACTCACTCACTCACTCACTCATCACTAATTCTCCCACTTCCCATTTACCTAGGAGGCTGAAATTTGTTACACCGATTCTTTAGGCATTAAATAGGAAAACTGAGTTGTTTTTATTCTTATCGGACTCTCGGGCTCCGCCCCAGTGGCTCTGGAGTTTCCCATGTTAACCTTATGATTTTTCATATTTAAAAGGAATTAATGAATCTTATCAGCTGTTTCAATTAAACAGGTTGGTTCTGTTCTATGATGTTCAATAGCATTATAGTTACAAGGATTACCAACAGGGTGCAGCACTATTATTTTTTTTAATTTATGACCACAGCCAATTTGCAACCAAAAGGTGAGTGAGCGTAGCGAACGAACTTCAACCAGGACGTGATTGAGCCATGCGAACGAGCTCATCTTGAAAATTAAGAAGTTAAACGGGGCAAAGCCCGCGGGCACAGCTAGTAGTTGATAAAACTAAAATGCCACAATTAATTATGTTAATTTCACTGGCACACAACTATGATGTTTATATGGTCCAAATTAACCTTAGTAAACTTAATTTTTTTATCTAACATCTGTGCAGACAAATGTAAACAAAAACCGAAAACAAATTATTCTTCCTTTACGAACTCCATGCTAACTTTGACCTTCTGTGGGGCGGGGCCCATTGGGAAATTTGTAAAATCGCTTCTTATTGTCTGCCTACGCTATGAGAGGAATATGTATGCAAAGTCTCATGCTTCTAGGTACTATATGGTTTGGCGTTGATCGGAATTTCGCATCTATATACAGACTAGCTGTAACCCGCGGGCTTTGCCCCGTTTAACCTCTTAATTTTCAAGATGATCTCGTTCGCATGGCTCAATCACGTCCTGACGTCCTGGTTGAAGTTCGTTCGCTGCGCTCACTCACGTTTAGGTTGGAGCTCGTTCGCTATGCTAACTCGCCTCCAGGTTGAGGTTCGTTCGCTACGCTCACTCACCTTTTGGTTGCAAATGAGCTGTTGTCATAAATGTAAAAGAAATAATAGTGTTGCACCCTGTTGGTAATCCTTGTAACTTTAATGCTATTGAACATCATAGAACAGAACCAACTTGTTTAATTGAAACAGCTGTCAAGATTCATTAATTCCATTTAAATATGAGTACTCATAAGGTTAACATGGGAAACTCCAGAGCCACTGGGGCGGATCCCAGAGGTCAGAGGGTAAAATCCTTTCTTAGTGAGCGTCTACTACCCAAAAGGAAGATGCCTGCCAAGTTTCAGGTTCCTAGGTCTTATGGTTTCTGAGATTTCGTGATGAGTGAGTGAGTGAATGAATGAGTCAGTGGTATTTGAGTTATATATATATACAGGGTGAGTTTTAATTGTCCCCCCCCCCAACTTTTTTCTACATTTTTTCAAATATCAATCCCAGACCACTTCCAAACATTGTTGGGTAGTAAGTACTTCATTTTGACAAGGTGGTCATTTCCGGCCGCCATCTTGGATCCGCCATATTGGATGCAAAATTTTTTTTTCAAATGTAAAGGTGGGGTTGTGACCCATTATTTCGAACTACATTTTTACCCTGATTATAATGCCGCAAACCGTTTAAGTAAATCTTGATTCATTCTAAAGTTACGAGGGCTTTTTAAAACTTTATTTTTAGCCCATTTTAACATTGTGCATTTACAAACTAAGACCATAATCCCAAAATAGTGCTAGATAATGATAAGTATACACTACCAGTAATTGTCCACCTATTTTCACTTGGTTATGACTGATGTATTTTTTTTCGGCCGCCATCTTGGATCCGCCATTTTGAAATGTGATAAATTATTTTAAATATGAAGGGGGTGTTGTGACCCATCATTTTGAACTACTTTTTTAAGCTAAACTCAATGCCGCAATCCATTTTTTGTTATCAAGTTTTATTTATGAAATATTGAAATTGTTTTGTTAAAAATGTCAATATTTCAAAATCAAAAAATGAAAATGAAAAACGGATTATGGAATTAAGTTCAGCTTAAAAAAGTAGTTCAAAATGATGGGTCACAACACCCCCTTCATATTTAAAATAATTTATCACATTTCAAAATGGCGGATCCAAGATGGCGGCCGAAAAAAAATACATCAGTCATAACCAAGTGAAAATAGGTGGACAATTACTGGTAGTGTATACTTATCATTATCTGGCACTATTTTGGGATTATGGTCTTAGTTTGTAAATGCACAATGTTAAAATGGGCTAAAAATAAAGTTTTAAAAAGCCCTCGTAACTTTAGAATGAATCAAGATTTACTTAAACGGTTTGCGGCATTATAATCAGGGTAAAAATGTAGTTCGAAATAATGGGTCACAACCCCACCTTTACATTTGAAAAAAAAATTTTGCATCCAATATGGCGGATCCAAGATGGCGGCCGGAAATGACCACCTTGTCAAAATGAAGTACTTACTACCCAACAATGTTTGGAAGTGGTCTGGGATTGATATTTGAAAAAATGTAGAAAAAAGTTGGGGGGGGGGACAATTAAAACTCACCCTGTATATATATATAGATAGATAGAAGAGAAGAGATAGATACAATGCCGCAAATTTGAACTCAAACGAACGACCGAGTAAACAATGACAGCTGTTAACTGCCATTTTGAATCTTTGAACGGCTGCTATTTTTTACTCAGTTGTACCTTTGAACTCAAATTTGTGGCATTGTATTCTAATAATTATGAGATTTAATATGAAATACATATCGACCAATGCATACGGTTATGATTTTCTTCCGATTTCTAGCTGGCTGAAGTCCTACCCTGAGGTAGCGTATGATGTATCATAGGTATACCCCCTCCAGCTAACCGATAGCCGTACTCAGATAGTTAGCCATTCCAGTCTGGGCAGTCTAAATATCAACAATGTTTGTCTCTGGCGTTACCTAATAAAGTTTGTCTGTTCAGTTTCAAATGTGAGTTTTATTATATTATAGTCTACCTTTAAGAACACGTCAGTGGCGACGAGAAAATGTGTTTTAAAACAGTTTAATTAAGTGATTGTGTCAATAACTGCAAGTTTTTATAAAAGTGAAAAGTGAAGAAGTGCCGGTCTCCGGTCGGTGAGTCAATGTCGTCCATTTTGTCAACGTCTGTCTGTGTGTTTTATAATTTAGTCAATAATTAATTCAAAATGTCTAAAGCACCAGTTTTTTTCCTGGAAGAGGAAGATTTTCCGTTGTATATCGAAACACTAGAACTGTATTTCAAAATAGAAAAGATTGATGATGATCTTAAAAAAAGTTATCTGTGTGTTAATTTGCAGCCTAGTATTTATGCAGAACTCAAGTCTATATTAAGTCCTATCGCGTTCAAGAAAGCAACATATAGTCAGTGTACTGAAGCATTAGCTGAATGTTACTAGATTGTCTATACGCTTATCGTTCCACTCCATCCTCTGTAACGGGTAAATCTCCTATGGCAATGCTACTTACTTTTTTACCTGAAACACCTTTGTCTTCTTTAAAAAGAAATGTAAGTTTCAACTTTGTATCGAATCAGTCAAAGAGAAAGAATCTGTCTAAAAGTAAAGACAAGCAAAAGATAAGAATTCCAAACTACCATCCTGATCAATTTGTATGGGTAAATCTGAATAAAAAAACAAATGTTGGTGTAAAGTTTGTGGTTGATCAAGTGGCCAAGAAAATTAGTCAGACTGTTTATTTGGTAAGAGTGTTATCTGACAAAAGTATTCACAAAGTCCATGTAAATCAGCTTAGAGAATATTATATTCCAAAACTTCATTCACCTAATGAAACTCCACACCAAAACACCGTCACCTAGACATGTGCCTAGTCCTAGTCCACCCAGACCATCTCCTGTTAACAATAGTACCAATCCACGTCCATCTCCACCCGTTCTCCAACCTTCACATACAAGTCCCCTTCAGCAGACTAGTAGTACAGGAAGAGTTATCAAGCCGACTAAAAGATTTACATTTTCTGAATTTGATTGATGATATTGAACTGTCCTTTTTGTCTCAGAAGTTGTTTACGGTTTTGTTGTGTGTATTTTTAAGAATTGTAAACAAAGTTTTATTTACTTTATTTTGTCACTTGAATTCTTGATGTTTTAATTATTGTACATATTGTCAACTTATACATGGGAAGGTAGTGATGTATCATAGGTTTACCCCCACCAGGTAACCGATAGCCGTACTCAGATAGTTAGCCATTCCAGTCTGGGTAGTCTAAATATCAACAATGTTTGTCTCTGGCGTTACCTAATAAAGTTTGTCTGTTCAGTTTCAAATGTGAGTTTTATTATATTATAGTCTACCTTCAAGAATGTATAAAAACAATGCAAACTCAATGCATCTTTGAATAACTGTCATTTTTTACTCAGTTGTTCGTTTGAGGTCGGGTTTTGTGGCATTATATTTTACTAACAAAGACCATTAATTGGATGTGCATATCAACCTATGCTTCTATTTAAGATTTTCTTCCGACTCCTTAACGGTAAAAAAATATTAAGCCGTCCCGGGACTTTTTACTACCCCATATAATATACAGGGTGTCCCGTAACTCTCTGGACACTTGTATATAGCGTTATTCCTTAGGTCAAGACAAACACATTTCACCATAGGAACATGGGTCTGTGGTGTCTAGTTTACCAACTGTCGGTATTTATGTGTTTTTTTACCAAAAAACTAATAACTCCTAAATGGTTTGAGATACAGCTTTGATATTTTGCAATAATGTTAATCTTATCAAGACCTATTATCGTTAGAAGTTATACTAAAAAATAATTAAGCGTTTCAAAATAGCGACCCTTTAAAATATTTGATGCCAAATTTCACGAAAACCGTTAATTTTACAAAACAATTGCAAGAGACAGAAAATTTTGTAAATTTTATGTAGTTTTTATAGATACCTTATTTGTTAGGATTGGATAAATAGTAACAGAGAAACGTGTTGTTTTAGTAATGTATGACCACTTTTCTCCATTTAAACAATGCTAAACAACGTAAAAGGAGTATTGTTTAAATGGTGAAAAGTGGTCATACATTACGAAAACAACACGTTTCTCTGTTATTATTTACCCAATCCTAACAAATAAGGTATCATTAAAAACTACCTACAATTTACAAGCTTCTCTTACAATTCTTTTGTAAATTTAACGGATTTCGTGAAATTTGGCATAAAATATTTTACATGGCCGCCATTTTGAAACGGTTAATGATTTTTTAGTATAATTTCTAACGATAATAGGTCTTAATAAGATTAACATTTTTGCAAAATATCAAAGCTGTATCTCAAACCGTTTAGGAGTTATTAATGTTTTTTGTAAAAAAACACATAAATGCTGACAGTCGGTAAACTAGACACCACAGACCCATGTTCCTACAGTGAAATGTGTCTGTCTTGACATAAGGAATAACGCTATATACAAGTGTCCAGAGAGTTACGGGGCACCCTGTATTAGTGTGTGTATGTCCGTTAGTAAGATAACTCGAGTAAAAATTATCGAATTTTGATTACATTTGATATAAACTTGTAAACATACATTTTATTCGAACAAGCTAGCGAACCAGCACAATCGTGCCATGGGAACGGGAGTTATGGGGTGTTTTGAGGGTTTTGTAAAGCCTAAAAACATATTATTTAGTATATTGAAACTGTGTTAGGCGCCTAATAGTTACGGAGAAAATTATAAAAATTATTCTTATGGAGGATAGTTAAACTAGTTCGCTTGTTTATGGACATATTTTAATCAAATTTGGAAAATGTATTTAATTCATACTAAACTAAATATTAAAGTTTCACAAAAACACTTTTTAAACCTCCTTGTTGCAGCAAACCTAAGTACTCGTTAAACTAATGCTTATTAAATAGGGAATGAATGTAAAATTTTAAAGAGAGATTTTAGTGTAAATCCAATCAGGCAAATGGAAATTCGCTTAGTCTGCACGTTTGCTGTGGCATTATTTAATATTTTTCCTACAGTCACCCGACAAAGTTGGCTTCCTTGTACTGTTTATAGTACAGAAAGCTGCTAATTGCTGCATATTTAAACTTTGCCGCACGGTTTATACTTTGTCGTACGGTTTATACTTTGCCGCACATCAGGATTCCAACGAAACAACACAAAACAGCGTGGTTCTATTATGCACGTAATCCGTGTACGCTTGGAAATAGGTTGGCAACACTTAAAGAAAATAATACTATGAGCAGCTGATTGACTATAACTACGATTTAACCTGTCATTTCGTGTTTATCGTTTCGGTATTTCTGAACTTTCTGAACTTTCCTTTTAAACGTTTTTAAAACATTCCTACGATCTTAATAAACAAGGAAATACCTTTAAAGCATTTTTTTAGGCGCGGAAACCCCTCAAATTACAAAAACATACGGAACTATATTCTCAAAACGCGGAGCCCACTAGTTACACAAATAACTATAACGAGTTTGTTTTGACATGAGGAAGATTAAATAAAAAAAATATCTAATCAGCTGTTATGATCTTATCTCTATTATCTATCCTCCTATCTTATCTTATATACTAAAAAAGTTTGCAAAACTTATGACAGCTAGCCTGACCATACTAATGGACCAAATTACGCGCGGTTGGTACCAAATGAAAGATATTTTCCTGCAGGTGTGCAGAATCCCCTTATAAATTCAAATATGCTCAAAATAAGCACGAAAAATGAGTTAGAATTTAACAAAAAAATAACATGGGTCTTATTGGTTGCCATTCTGGTGACAAAATAACAAAATATAAACAGAAAATCTAAACAAATTCCAATAACATGTTTTATGTACAGTGTTGGGGGGGGGAATAGAGAAGTCTGTAAATATACATATTTTTGGGCTAGTTTTCAACCACTGGACGATTTCTATTTTACTATATTAACTATTTTACGAAGTCGTTCAAAGAACGATATGGGAGGGGAGAGAAAAAGGTCCATGTTGTAGGAAGTGGTAAAGGAAGTAGTAAAGGCGAGCCGTGCGGAGTGTGGGAACCGTCTGTGACAGTTAAATTAATGTATCTGCAATACTTAAACGCTATGGGAAGTATATATAAACATATATATATATATGTATATATATATATATATATATATGTGTATATATATATGAATTTGAACGGATGGTGATTCTGGCCTCTAGGGACCTCAAAACGAAAAAGTAATAGCTTGTTTCTTATATGGGAAATTCGCTAAAACAAAAAAATCTATGCTTATTTTTTACAATCATTCGTGACTGAAAGGGTTAAGTAGTGAACTATAATAATCAAGAATAATTAGGATAAAATTTGAATGGAACCTAAAGTGTAAATAATGAAATAAATAAGCATATGCCTTCTTAATTAACAATGGAGTACAAACACCTTTGTAAAACTCACTTATAGTGGTAAAAATATCTGTATTGATAATATTGTGAGCTAAACAACAAAGTACTGCCACTACTGAAGTAGCTCGATGGGGGTGGTTTTGTTTACCTGTGATGTTGTCCTAACTCTGGAGACTGCACAACTGGTCTCTGGTGTCTGTGTTACTGTATACTGGTCTCACATACCTTCACTGTTTCCTTCTCCCTCTCTAACAGCCGACTGCTCGGTTTCTGCCTCGATGACCTTTCTGTTTGGGATTCCCAGACCAGTTATCTTATCTGACGTAGTTATTCTCTAAGTGAAGCTGAGTCTAGGTCCACCAAAACAAAGTGAATAGGTTTAGTTCTATTTTAGGAGTTATTAATGTACTGTAAGTGTAGTTAAATTATGACTTTGAAGGGTCTAAAATAAAAGTGTGTGTCACAACAATGAGTCACATTCGAACTTGCGCACGGTGTTTGTTAAACTTAAAAATTATTTATTACTTTATGTACAAACAATGAATAAACAAATTAACTTATATTTCATGCCTGGATTTAACGGACTGCTCTGTACCCACTACCGTTTCAATCAATCAATCAAATATTCTTTATTCATAAAGTTTAGACAATATGTCTTGAATAGAGTTATTAAACTAACATAAACAAAAAATTATAAACTAAATAATTAAAATCATTCACAAATGATTTATATAGTAAAACTAAAAATGAGTGCTATAACTGTAAAAAGTCACAAAATCTTAGAAGGTTACGTCAGAGTAAAACTAGGTAGTATCTGTAATTCAAATGGTCGCTTTGAGATTAAAATTTAAAAATTCGTTGATAGGATAAAATAGGTTTACTATCAATAAGTCTTGTAGTTGGCTTTTGAATCTGTTTGTATTATTGTATTTTTTAAGTGAAATAGGTAATTTTCAAAGAAATGTTAATCCTGCATAATGAAGGTTTTTTGGTATAGAATTCTAAATTATGTCTAGGAAGGTTAATTTGAAAGCGTGTGTCATATTTACTTGCAGTGGATAATAAATTAAATTGTTTTGCAAAAATGATTGTCTCATAAATATACAAACTGTAAACTGTTAATACACCCAATTCAGGTAAGATATTTTTAACTGAATCTGTTCTTTTTAATTTCATGATCACTCTAATAGCTTTTTCTTGTTTTATAAGTATTTTATCCAAATTTGCCTTAGTTGTTGATCCATAAATGGCGATTCCGTAGGATATGTGGGAATGAATTAGAGAATAATAGATTATCCTAAGAGTTTCCAAGTTGCAAACATCAGCCGCAAGGCATGAATGCCAGATGATAATTTATTTACTACATAATTTATGTGATTATTCCAATATAGATTTTCATCAATGACCAGTCCCAGAAACTTTGTTTGGTTTCCCTGATCAATTTTGTCTGTTTTTATAAAAATATTAGGTTCAAATGCTGCTATTGATTGTTTAGTTGAAAAGGCTATTAGATTTGATTTTTTGGTCTGATAAGTAGATTTCTTTCATCCAAAAACTTTTTTATAGAGAGAAGACTCCTGTTTGAGGATTTTTCAGTAATTAAATTGGATTTTCCTGAAAACAAAACATTAGAGTCATCGGCATACAGACACATAGATCCATTACTGACCGGGATCATCTCTGGTAACCCCTTAATGTAACAAAGGAACAAAAGAGGCCCTAAGATTGATCCCTGGGGTACTCCATGACGCAGTGTCTGCCGCTGGGATCTAAAGTTGTCAAAATATTTAGTATTTTTTTGCTCTATTACGTAGTCTACTTCAACAAACCGTTCTCTGTTTTCTAAATATGAAGTGAACCACCGTAATTATTTTCCTATTATTCCTAATTCATTTAAGAAATTTAATAGTTATTGAGCTATAATAAATAATAATAGCTATGTAATAGTTATTAAGTTTAGTTAGTTAATTTAATTAGTTATTTAATTATTTAATAGTTCAAGGCAAAGATTATTTTTAAATGTGTTCATATCCTGGTATAAAGGGTGTTTCTAAATTGTCTGGACATATTTTCTGGACTTGTTCCTTTGTCTAAGACAAAAATAAAATGCCATATAAGTATAGGTCTAAAATGCCTAGATTTCTGTTTGTCGGTCTGCTTGTGATTTTTAAGAATTGTTTTATTTCTTAGGCATTTTTCGAGCTTGAAATTTTAAAATTAGTATGAATGTGTATTTCAGTAGTTGAAAAGAGCTTACAAAGTTTCGGTGCAATATGTCAAGCCCTTTCAATATAATGTCACCATTTACATTCTTTAGTGCAAAATTTCATGAAACCCGTAAATATTAAGAAAATTGTTCTTTGAAACAAAAAGATTGAGAATTTAAATCCAAATCAAATGAGACCTTGTCAAAATCGGATGACAATCAACCGAGTTATCAGTTTTTTTCTTCATTCGGATACGCAATTTAGTAGGACTTCCCTACTGTTTATTATTTGTTATTTTAAAGAGCTGGTACCTAGTCCTATTAAATTGCGCAACTGAAAGTAGAAAATACCCCCGCCGCAGCAAACCTGCCGACTAAGCGAATTTCCATTTGTCTGAATTGATTTTCAATTAAATTTAATATTCTAATAACATTAGGTTTAACGAGTACCTAGGTTTGCTGCTACAAGGAAACTAATAAAGTGTGTTTTTGAGTAAAATATTGATAGCTTAGTACAAAATAAATAAATTTGCCAAGTTTGATCAAAATAGATTCATAAACAAGCAAACTACAACATTTGACAATATTCTCCATAAGAATAACATGGTAATTTTAAATTTACAATTTTTTTAATTTTCTCCGTTACTAATAATCGAACAAAAATACTTTTATATACTAAATTATTTGTTTTTTTAAGCTCTTTGAAAAGGTCTAAAGAGAAATTGGGAAACTTTGTGTTTTGAGAGTCAAAAGTGAGAAAAACCAATTTTTACCCCATAAAACCCCCCGTAAAGCCCCGTTCCCATGGTCCGATCGTGCTGGTTCGCGAACTCATTCAAGTTTATCTCGCTTTACACCTTTAAACCAAATTTCATCAAAATCGGACAAAAATTACTCAAGTTATCGCGTTCACGGACGTATATATATATATATATATATATAAGTCTATATATTAAAATTAAAACATACATAACAAAGTACCCTTTTAGTAATTATTTTATTTTTCATGACGACATGTTTCGGAACTAAGTCCATTGTCAAGTCATTTTTACCATAACCTCATTCTTTAAACTAACAAAATTAAAAATATAATCATATGTAAAAATAATAAAATATGTTAACTAAATCTTAATACATTTTGGTATTAATTTTTTTCATTATACTATATGAATGTTTTTCTTTCTTTCCTTAGTTTTTCAATTTTATCGTAGATAGGTTGGTTTAATTTTGGAATCATTGTGTTGAGTATGTTGTTGGGGTCCTTTTTGTTGTGTATATAAATATTTAGCTCTTCTTTCACATTAAGTTTCTCACGTTCTTTTTCAAATTCTAAAATAGTTAGATTGTCTTTCATGTTTTTATAACTGTGGTCTGTGTTCATTATATGGTCGGCGAAGTTCGACTTCATTGATGTCTGATTTTTTGATTTCAATGCTTGTAGATGTTCCTTGAATCTTGTTTTAAAAGTTCGAGATGTTTGACCTATATAATACTTGCTACAGTCACTACAGTTTATCTTATAGATTCCTGATTTGTTGTACTTTTCGTCTTCATTATCTTCTGTGTGTTTGATTTTTTTATTGATTAATTGGAAAATATTGTTCTTAGTTCTGTAACTTACCCTTATATCCGAATTTTTAAACGTATTTCTTACTGCTTTAGTCATATATTTGTTATAAGGTATACATATATATTTCTTTTTCTCTTCATTTTCCGTTGTTTTATTTTGCTTTTGTAATTTGTTTTTCAATTTATTCTTTATCATATTGTCTATCATTTTTGCCCTGTAGCCATTTTTCTCTGCTAAGTATTTAATGGTATTTTTCTCTTTTTTGAAATTTTCTTTATTCAAGGGAATATTAATAAGTCTGTGGATAAGTGAATGGAAAGTAGCGATTTTATGACTCCAAGGATGATTAGAATAGTATGGAATAATGATGTCTGTGGTCGTAGGTTTTCTAAATATGTTAAATGTATGTCTGTTGTTATTTTTTGAGATTGTAATATCTAGAAAATTTATTTGTTCTTTTTGAACCTCTCCTGTAAATTGTATTTCTGGAGATAGGTTATTAATATATTTTAGTAGATTATTAGCTTCATTTTCATTTCCTTTGAATAAACAAATTATATCGTCTACATATCTGTACCAGTATTGGATTTTATCTTTAAATGGGTTACAATCATTCATTATTTTGGTAGTTTCCATTTCTTTCATGAATATATCTGCCATTATTCCAGATAGAGGGGAACCCATTGGTACACCATCTTCTTGCAAATAGAAAGAGGAATTGTAGCTGAAATAGTTTTGTTTCAGTGTCAATTGTGTAAGCTGAATAATATCTTCAATTTCTTTTTTGTTTAATATATTTTTCCCAATTAGTTCTTTTCTTAGAATATTTAATGTTTCCTTTGTTGGGATATTTGTGTACATGTTACAAACATCAAATGAGATCAGTAAAGAGTTCTCTGGAATGTCTATATCTTTTATTCTTTCAATGAAATCATAAGTATTTTTAACATTATACCCATTATCCATATTGATACTATTTTTTATTTTGTTGTCCAAAAATTTTGATAGTTTATAGGAAGGAGCATTTTGAAAATTTACTACAGGTCGGATAGGTATATTAGTTTTGTGCGTTTTTGGTTGTCCTCTTAGTATTGGGGCTTTTGAGTTATTTGATTTTAGCATGTTTTGTTCTAGTTTCGTTAGACTTTTACATTTCATTATTTTACTATTAATTGTTTTTGAATATTCAATGGTTGGATCTTTCGTTAGGACTTTAAATTTGTTATCTTTCAAAAAAGTGTCTACTTTTGTTTCATAATCATTTCTGTTGATTATTACAACAGCATTACTTTTATCCGCTTTTGTTATCATTGAATTATCATCTTTTAATTTATTAGAAATAGATTTGATAAGATGTAAGTCTTTATTGGTTTCTTTTAGTGTATTTGGGTTAGATATATTCTTTTTAGTTTTGTTTAGTTCGTGTGTAAAACTAAATCTGATTGGATCTCTGATTTGCGTATCTGTTTTTCTTA